TTATCTTGATTTTGTGATTATTTTGAGATTCACTCTAGAATTCTACACTAGCACAGGCGCACACTAGCATTCATTTGTGGGGTACATGCTTTGTTAATTATTGATTTGGTTACAACCCAATTGAGTTAGTAGTTCTTTGAAAGCTTTCATTCTTGACAAAGGTGGATAACAAACCCTTTTCACTAAGTATTCGAGATTCTAGCCTCATCAAGCATTGAATTTCTCACGCCAAAAGATGGAGGGCCCAAACTCTAGGTTAAAAATGAAATAAAATAAAATAAATAAATTTTTTTTTCGCAAAGGCAAAGAAGTGAGGACTTCTTACCAAATGTGAGGAGTAGGAAATGATTAAATGGATGTTGTTTTGATTTGTACCCTAGTTGAGTTGAGTTTATACGTCCTTAGGGGTGTCTCTACACCTAGTGCCCTAAAGCTATCCGGTTTGGGAGTCATTGACCTAATGCTCGCCTCATGAATCTTCTAGAAAGCTTAAGAGATCACAACATTGCACCATGTTTCCATCTTTGATCTTATAATTTTTTTTTTTTTAAATCGAGTAATAAGAATAAGCGCGCCTACTTGAATAAAACTTTAATAAAAGGTTCACTCTTTGTCTTGATGATCGGTACTAGATTTGTGTGCTAACTTGAGGCCGAATGTGACCATTTTATTAGTTGGCTAAGATAGCAACATATTTGATACCGGTTCACTTAAAAAGGATTCTAGAGTTATTTTGCTTTGCATGATCATTCTCTTGATGTGTGACCATACTTGCTTGCTGTTTGTTAAAATTTTGGAGAGTTACTTAGAGATGGTTGAAAAATTGCATACTTGTGGTAGTTTTCTTCTAATGGTAGTTTAGAATGTTGGTACATCTTTAGTAAGAAAGAGCTTAATGTTTGTCGGTATCATTTCTGGAAACCCTCATGAGACTTCACTAGTCCACTAGGGATAACCTAGGGCTTTAAAAGGTTTATTGCATATGCTAAATGTAATCGTGTTCCATACAAAAGTTTTGTTATCTTTTTATTACTTTCTAGTTCATAGTTGTGTAGTTGTTTCTTTCTTTCTTTTCTTTGTAGTTCATTGCTAGGGACTAGCAATATCTAAGTTTGAGAGTGTGATAAGTACTCTAATGTTGCACATTTTAGCACCTAAAGTAGGGTATTTTAGTTCATTCATCTATCTTTATTTTTCCGTTTTAGTACTAATTTATGTTTTTGTCTATTTTAGGTCCATAAGGTTCAAATGGGCTAAAAGTGGTCCATTACAACCTTTTTGGAGTCAAACATAGAGTTCCGGAAAGTTTCAAAAAAATGGAGAATTTCGCCACAAATGGGCTTAGACCGATCGAAGAATTTTGGATCGATCAAAGATATTTTAGATCAATCGAGAATATGTTGGCAGGGAGCTGTTTTATTCCTGCGTTGGCCCAAACTCCACATATAGTTGCGGGATTCGATATTTTAAAGACTTATTTTCTAACTTGTTTATACTCCCAGAAGCTTGTATAAAGGAGGAATTGAAGTATTTATAAAGGGTCTTCAATTATTATTTTATTTTTACATTGTAATAGTTAGTTTCTCTCTAGAAAAGTTAGAGATTAGCGTTAAAAGAAAAGAAAAGAGTGGAGGCACCAAGAACACATCTCAAGATCTACACATACACTCTCTCTAGAATTTAACAAAGAAGAGGAGGAAGAAGATGGAGCCATGTTTGGGGATAGCCTTTGAGGGTTTCAAGATCACATCCACCTCCTTCGTGATTGGCTAGACTTCTCCTTGGGGATTGAATGAGCCTCAAGTTTGTAATCTAAACCTCTATCTCTTTCATACTTTTTGGAGAATTTATCTTGTGATTAATGTTATAGCCTTGTGTATAAAATGAATCATTGGTTCTCCTTTGATTTCTATGGTTTAATTATTTCTATTTATTCTCTATGTGATTACATGTTGTCTTATGTGTGATTATTAGGAAATTGATCTCTAAACTATTTTCTTTATGTTTGTTGCATGTCTTTGTGTGATGAATTAAGGATTTAGTGATGGCTATACATGGTTTTCATCGAATGAGTTTGTCAATTAATTTGATGCGTTATACTTATACTTGATGGGTTGTTCTACAATTTAATTCATACTTGTAGTTAGGTAGACAATCTATACTTGATTTGATATTCCATAACTTATTATTGCAAATTTCATGATTCTCTAGATTAATATGTGCTATAATTGTTTCTAGTTTGATGGGTCATGCTTATGATTGATGGGTTGTTCTACACTTACTTTTATTGTTGGTTAGGTAGACAATTCATACTTGAATTTGATGGTCCATGCTTAATATTGCAATTGGTAGTTGCATTTTGTTCACAAGAAGGTTTTTTTCCAAATTAGTTGAAAATGTGTGGTTTGGTGAACGAGCTTGGTGACGATTCCAATACACCTCAACACCTCACTTCTCATCTCTTAAATCCCTAGCTTAATTTTAGTTTTATTTTAATAACATTTTCATTAATTAAAATAGTTTAATCACCAACCCAAATCTCTTTGCAATCATTTAAATCATTAAAGTCGAAGCTAAAATTCCAACACGTATAATCTTTTGGGATGATCATTTCTCACTCATATTACATAGTATATGCGTTAAGCGATTTATAAATTTAAAGTATGATGCCCACTTGACATTAATTTCTAAACTCAAAGTGTTGTGCATTATTTTGTGCACACGCTAGGGTCGCATCAGACTCCTCTATGCATAATTAGTTATCGGATAAATAAAGTCATCAATCCGACTACTAAATTAATATATTTAATTTGGTACTTTTGATTATTTCCAGCTTGATCACAATAAAACATTTATTTGACAAAAATAATAATTTAAATAAATAAATATATAATAAATCATTTTGTCTAAAAATACACGAAGGCTTTCAAATTTAGTTTGCGATCAACTATAATCAATACAAAATAAATATAAATAGCAATGATGTAAATATTGAAAATATAACCCTTTAACTATTAATTACATAATTACCCAAAGTGCCGGTCTAAGGATTTCGAAGAATCCGCCGAACAAATCAAAGTAGTTACTAATTACTAAAAGAGTCTATACTTTTCTCATGCTTAAGAGTCAAATGCCATGACAGTGATAGAGAACAATTGCATACGACAGTTCTCGCAATATATCTCAACCTAACGCGGATCCAATTCAAATCTTAGTTAATAATGAGTTCATTCATAATTACCGACTATGAACTATTTATAATTATTATTTATATTCATGTATTGATCACTATTACATACATATATAAATATCTCTTGTAATCAAGTGGACATTATCAATTCCGTAATGAATCGAAACATAATACATTAAATTCACCAATTGTAGAAATCATAAATATTTCAAATATGTCATGAATATATGTTACTTTAATCCAAATAAGAATTCGCTATGCCAGATAATACAAATCGCAATAGAGTGTTGCAGGTATATCAGTCGAAGTTGGTAAGAATTCGGTAAGTGGGCTTTCAGTTGATAGTCGTGATCAGAGATGGGTTTATGTTGAAGACGGCGATTCTGGATCCTTGAGCCACGAGTTGTATTGTGTCGTGTCAGCATACAGCTCAAATGTGAAAAATCATAATGCCTTGGTCAGTTGGGCGTGGAGGAGAAGTGGCTTCGGATCCAAAAAATGGGCAGCAAATTGATGTGCTGCCACATTGATCCGATCAAAGTTTGAACTTTGAAGTTGCAGAGGCGCCTGATGCTAAAGTGGCCTAAGCTTTGAGCCCAAAGTTGCTGTCTACCAAACAAAAAGCCCAGTACATATCATTGAAGATGGATCAATCCAAAGGCCAACCCAATTGCTCTTGGGATGCAGTCGGAAAGGTAAACATTTTAATGTTGTGGAGTGGGTTTTTGTTTTCCATATTCCTACCCAGGCCCAAGAGGAGCATCTTGCTCCAAGCCCAGCAAAGCTGGGCCCAAAAAACGCTCAAAATAAAGAAATGGGCCAGTTGTCATTGTAACGTGCTTCAAAAGCTTCGTTCTGTGATTGGATGGTATGGAAGGCTTGGAATGCCTGTGTGGTTGTGGCTTCCTTATGGGCCCCCTCTTATGGGCTTTGGTAAATTCAGTCCAAAATGAGCACTTTGCTGGTGCATCTTTGCAGCTTGAGCTGCCTCAAGTATGGTCACCACCTTGGCTGAAAATTGAGAAATGTGAATGCTGGGTTTCAAAAGCACGATCTCGCTAATGAAGGAGAGGCAGTGTTTAGAGATCATAGTGGCGCCATTGTTAATATACTTGTGTAGTGTTTTTTTTGGTTGCCAGTAAAAATATATATATATACATATATATACATATTATGAACACACTCTTCATGTGATGTTGCACATGATGTTCTTCTTGTCTGTATATAGGTCTACCCTAATGTTACGTACTTTTAGGCATCCATGGAGTAGAGACGGACAGATTAGGTTTTTCTGTGGTGTTTAAAATTAAATTGAAAATTGTCGTTCCGAACAGTTTTGATTAATCGTTTGATCATCTCCCTGGAAGACTTGATCATTGCGTCGATCAATCGAATATTGTTGCACGTTTTATACTTAAAAAAGATTCAACAAGTAGTTTCCAAAAAATGTCATTAAAGTTTAGAACATTGAAACCTGAAAATTTATAAACCCTAGATATGCAATGCATGAACCCTAATTTGCATCGGTGTATCAATTTACCAATTTACCCTTGAAATTAGCATGAATCTTCCACCTTGGGAGATAACTAACACTAACCTTTTCAAAATGTCTAAACTAAACTAGAAATTCAAACAAAAGTGCTACTGACTCATTACAACCATCAACAGTATATGACCTACCAAAAAATAAAATTAAAAATAAAGAGCCATAAACATGCAGATTATGAACGTTGCAATCTTTTGTGGAACTTGGAGATTCAGAATACACAAATATATATATCTTCTGAATGGCCAAATAAGCACAAAAAGATGTTCAAAATAGATAATAGCAGCATTAAATTAATTGCTGAAAAATGTAATATTATTATATTGCATAAAGGGTACAATTCCAACGAAAATATTTATACATCAATCAGGAATAGAAATGCCCACAACGAAGCTTGAACTCACACTCGATCATCAGGAATAGAAATGCCCACAATGAAGCTTGAACTCACACTCGATCCTCAACTGTGTTTTTCACAATGCAGCTAAGCCAATCTGAGAGCTTTAATCTCATATCAGGATCAACGAAATATCAGAGTAAATTAGTAGCTAAGCTTCCCACTGCCACCACAGGAACTACAAGATCGGGCAGAAGAGCATTTTGTACAGTAGCTCCATTTCTTAGGAAGCCTGTTAATGGTAGTAGATGAGTTAAATAAAATTGGGAGAGAAAGCTAGAGAGAGAGAGAGAGAGAGAGAGAGAGAGAGAGAGAGATGTACCCTGCTGTGTATCTAGTGGCCATATTCTTTGCAGTCATTCTGGCTCTCTCAGCGCCTTTGTCCGACAGTTTCTTAAGCACAAATCCTTCGCCATTGCATTCAGAACAAATACCAGAACCACTACAGTCTTCACAAATTTGTAAAGGAACCTGTGTTTTAAGGACAGCAATCCAGCTCATGCAATTGAAACAAACCAGTGCTCTGATGTTAATGTAAATAGTCTCTCTTGTTTCTTTTTCTTTTTACTCTTTTAGTCTTAGAATACAAATTTTTGTATGAAAATTTCCGTTTTATTGTGGGATTCTTGTAAAATGCCCATTTTGAGCAAGAAAATTATATCAATAAATTCCAGAAAAATTTAAAGCATTTTTAGAAAAATTCGACAAACCTAGTTTCCAGTTTAACTATTCCACAAGGAAACATGAGCCTTCCTTTCCCAGCAATGGCTTGGGTTATGACATTCAAAGAAGAAAACAAGAATTTTACCTTATTTATTAATTTTTTATTTTTTATTTTTATACCAAGCATCATCTTTATCCAAGTCAAACTCTGCACTCTTTGTTGTGCCAGAGGATTCTAATGGGATCTTCTTCAACCCCATCCAGAGATTTCTTTGCTTTTCTATAGTAAGATGGTAAGTTCATTGACTCATCCTCATTCTCAGAGGCTCTTGCTGTTGGAATCATGGTATCAATTGGTACTTGACCCACCATCAGTAACTTGGTGAAGAGTACCATGTACCCATCAGTGAATAGGTGGAGGGATGAAAATAAGTAATAAGAATACAGCATGAAGGGAAAAGGGAATGAGCCTAAAGGAACTGAGGAGTAAGGTAACTTGAAGGCAGTAATTTACGTCATGTTAAAATTCAATTGAATTAATTTAGCCAAATATGAGTTTTTAGAAACCCTTCAGAACCTTTTCTAACCAATGAAAAACAGTGAGATGTTACCAAATAAAGCTAGGTCAACCTACATGCAGTGAATGTGTTTCAGCTTAAAAAAATTGTTACAAGAATGTTTCTCATGGCAATGGTTGATTACAAATTGTGAATCAAAACAGAACTTTGCCAAAAGTTTATTATAGGTGAGACCAGATTCTCTATTTGCCTGAAATCTATGCTAATTGACCGCTCTGCAAAATTACACACACATTTATATCCTAGCACAATCGTTCATTTCAGAAGTAAAACTAGCTTTTTTGCTACCATCTAAGGTAATTACGCACCTCAGTTGCTTCAGAAGCTTTGGTTCTCCTCACTAGAAATGTAGCCGCTGCACCTACAACTGTGGCAGCAACTGCAACAGAGGCAGCAGTTTCTGGTAGTGCAGAAGATATTATGGATCTCCTGTCCCGTGGTTCTTTTGACTTCACATAAAATGGAAAACTAGAATTTCTCTCAAATGCATTTTGAAGCTTGGAGTAACAATCTGTTTCACAGCATAGAAGTAAGATCAGCTACAAATTCTTATCAATTAAACTAGTGCACTTTACACGGTCATAAATTATTGGAAGACAGGGTCCAGAAAGTACTTTACTTTCAGGATACACAAAAGATCCTAGTTGAATACTAGGCTGAGCTTCAATTGTTCCAAAGATCCTAGTTGATAAATTACACTAAAGAGAAGGTACAAATAAGTTAGAAGCACATGACTGAACAACAAACAAATCTGCAACTTCTGTGGAATCATTAGCAACTTCAAGAAAGATTGAAACATGTGGTGCAAATAGAGACCAATAATGCTCTCATGTCTAGAGGAGGCCAAATTGCATTTCCGGGTTACCTGGAAACAGAACTGTGAATGCATCCGAAACAACCAAATCTGATAATATAAAGGTAAAAAAATCTACAGTCTTGCTATTTAAATGTTTAATAATCGTGCTATAAATTATATTGCAGTAAAGTGCATATAGAAAAGCAGCTCATGAATTTCTTTCTGAAACTATTTTGTAGAATATTGTCTTCTAATGGAAAGAATGTAAGTCATTTAGCACCCCTAATGAAAAGCATACTGATACACGTATTAATGAAGGCATGCTTGTTTCCAAGAAATGGAAACAAGGGTTGGAAATGCATGCCGTCAAGAAATGTGCAGTATTCTTTTGCAAGGTACGTATGCCATGTTTAAGCAACCTAATTACAAATTGAGATAGAAATTTCCAAAAGGGCGAAAAACTAACAATGCAAGTATGCAACCCACCCCAACCACATTTTATGGCTCTAAAACCTTTCTGTGGACACTAGAATTATTACGAATCGTAGCAAACTTGAGCACAAAAACTTATCCCTAAAATGTTGAGATGATTAAGTTCCCAGTCAACTGTGAACCTTGTGATGAATAGAGAATTGATCAAGATTGTGATATCCTCTAGCTACTATAAATAATACAGTTCACAAATTATTGATATTTTTTTTAATAAGAATAAAAAGAACCATATATGATCATACGCTATATCCACAATGTTGAACTACGTGATCTTGTTTGTAGTCAAATTAATAACACTATAACCCTGGAATAGTCGGATCCCATCAACTGATGACAGCCATGGTTTAGTAGTAATGCTCAAATTGGTCTTGGTTGTGACCTTGAGGTGTTCTTACAGAGAAGTGTAATAAGAAACAAGGTCAGATGATTACTTCTTTTCTAGAAGCGGTCAATGCATTGTACTCTCATAACAACTTGAATTGACAAGCGTGAAAATACCGGTTTAAGTCTAAAAGCATCCAATCGTGCAAAATAATGCCAAACAATATGTTGGTCTCTAATATTCCTTCCCAGCATCCAGCATAGGGGGAAGACAGGATTATGCGCTTTAAACTTGAAAAGGACAAGGTATTGCGCTTTATACTTCTCATAATATATTAAATTTAGTATGTTTCTTAATTGGAAATGTAAGGTTATTTCTTTCTACCAGTTCAATGTATCAATCTTATTTTAGTATTTTCTCATAATTGCATTGATAGATTTCTAATTAATTAACCCGCACGGGTGGTCTAGTGAATAAGGGATCTCCTCATATAGATAAAGGCAAGATCCCAAATTTCACCTATACATCACAGAACAGAGAACCTTCACATGTAAGGAGAACAGAAAAAAGAGTAGATGATCAAGTACAAACATGATTTAGATATTCTATTTACTTAGAATGTAAGCTCAACTAAGTTTTCAATTTCATACGACTTGATTATGCTTCTAATTAACTTTGATAATGTGAATATATATCTGATTGATTCCAAGTAATTTTTACTATAGTTATTAAATAAGTCTCACAATTCTAATTCTAGACGTAACCAAGAACAACAAATATTTTAGAAGCTACAATATCCAAATTCTCAGTTTACACTACACACGTTGGTTGCCTAAAACAACCATTTAATACAACTTCTCCACTTATACCATCTCATTCACTCCCACACTGATCAATAACTCCCAAATGATAGCAACCCCATTGAAACCCAGACCCAATTTATCACATACAAACCCGGGTAATCTTCATATCCTAATTAATTGAAAGGAAACCTACCCCTTTCTTGAAGACAAAACTCCAATTCATCAAACAAACCCAAAAGTACTAATTTGAACCCCAACCTCATCAAAGTATTCACTTCCAATAGGAGGCAATTTTGGGGTTTTCAATTTTAGGGTTTCCATCTTTAACACTGAAAACTCAGAATATCCCCAAGCTTCTCCATAATTGGTCCCCAAAATGTAATACAATAACTAATTTTACCCTTTTATCCAGAAAGAACCGCTATAACAGAGAAACCTCCCTCCCTGCTTACAAGATTAAAATTAATTGAAATGTTGGTTTTACCAAATCATTATATACCCAGTTCTAAATGACACTGGAATACATCCAGAATGAACAAACCCAATAAAAGCCTCCTATTGTGCTGTGTAACCCATAAATGAGAAGCAAAATGAAACTAATGTAAACATACAACTACAGACAATATATATTTACACACACATATATATATGTATAACTATAACTACTACCAGCATACAACATGTCAAGAACTACTATCACCATAATGAATTAGAACGCTAGTTTTGCAGGTATGGTAAGATAAGCAGTAGATTTACAACTAAAAAGCAAATGCAACCAACACAACTGGAAAATTTTGAATTTATATGGGCCTTAGAGAGAGAATTGTTATCTTACTCTTAGAAAAGGAGGTAAGTGGTAGAGTTTGCAACCAGAGCTCCATTTCAGTTTGTGTCCCCCGTGTATAAATAACTAAACCGTTTCGTTCCTCTTCTTATCTTGGATACTGGATTTCAGTTTCAAATATGCCCTCCTAACCAATACAATATCAAATTTGCCATTGCTTTTGTCATATTCTTCTCGTCTTATTTTTGGTAATGTATAGCATGACAACGTGAGAAACACCCTTCATATTTACATTTTGGCAAATATTACTTCTAAGGTTTATTTTTATTTTTATTTTTTATTTTTGGTATATGTAAGTGAGTTAAGTTTGAAAAAATGTCAAAGAAGGGCTTGAGGTCACTGTTTAGTTACAAATTTTGTCATGTGCATTGTATATATATTTTTAAGATATAAAATTTCAAAAATACCCTTTTATCTTCCAATAATGCTCTTATATATAAATTCTGCATCACAATATATACATACTCAAACATACAATGCAAGTCCTACTACAAGAAAGATATACACATGGTACCCATAGCCAATCATTGGCCAGATAATGTTTTGACATTCTTCATGTGAATAGACCATAATACCCTTGCCAACTCAGCTAAAGTGTCATCTAGTGTATGAAAAATTATATAGCTCACTATATCAAAGCTGTAATAGCATTCTTATCTAAGACATGGTGATTAAGAAATGTAGTCCTATGTATACACTCTCACACTAGGACCACATCAACCTACTACACACCTGAGCTATAAGCAAAAAGACCAAAATGCCCTTGTAACAACCTCTTGTCATTCACAGCCTTAATCTGTTGTTGAGACAGTATAATTCATACTGCAGGCTAAATCACAGCCGTTCAATACAATGCAGCTACCTGAACAAATGTAAAAACATATAATACAATTGTGAAATGACCATAGTACCCTTGAAAATCCCTATAGCTATTTTTCATACGCTGAACCTCAGTTAACACAGAAAACAAGCTGAATAGCTGCAATGTACTATCTTAAACCATTGTGAAATTGTCCCAATATGGTAAAAGACTATACTACCTCTGAGAGATGATATAAGCCACTATGCACATCAATGGTGAAGATATATGCCCTTGATAGCTCTATAACACCAAGTTTTGACATTAAAAATGCAAACACCAATTGGTACTTACTAGGACCAACAATCTCTTCCTTTTGCCTTTAATGACAAAAACCTCACAATGAAATAAGAACTGAAAAATGAAGATTCAGTAACACAAGTATATGAATACCACAGTCACAAACAGATAAATGTAAAAACCAAAACCTTATTTAAGGATAAAAACTATCCTTATTTTAGTCCTTTCCTCCCCTTTTTTGACATTGAAGGTCAAAAGATGAAAAGGACCAACAATGATAAGCTCAAAAGGGTGGTGGAACAACCCTGAGAAGGTTCTAAGGGCTGTAAATCGCTGAGGAAGAAGAGGTTTGGTCATAATATCTGTAAGTTGATCTTTAGTGGGCAAATACATGATATCAATGAGACCTTTTTGAACTTTGTCTCTAAGAAAATGATACATGATGTCAATGTGCTTGCTCTTCCAATGGAGAGTTGGATTCTTACTGATAGCATTGGCAATTTAGTTTTCACAATACAACTTGGGAGGACCTGAGAATTGAAGACCAAGGTCAGTAAGTGTCGTCGTCATCCAAAGTAGTTGAGAACCAGCTTGAGAAGTAGTAATGTACTCAGTTTCAAAGGTTGAAAGGGAAACTATAGCTTGATTTTTGCTTAGCCTAGAGATTATATTGGAGCCAAGGAGATAACAACATCCTAAAGTACTACTTTTATCAAGCAAAGAACCACCCCAATCAGTAGCTGAATAGGTTTTAAAAGGCAATGTGGGAGAAACTAAGTCGTGAAGACCATAGGAAAGAGTTCCATTGACAAATCTGAGGATTCTTTTGGCAGCTTGAAGGTGAGAAGATCTAGGATTGCTTTGAAACCTTGCAACTGAGCCCACCGAATACATGATATCAGGTCTAGATGCTGTGAGATACAATAAGCTCCCAATGATAGGCCTGTAAAGGGTTGAAGGGATAACTTCTGAGGTACACTCAAGTGTAAGTTTGGTATTAGGGCGTAAAGGTGTAGAAACAACCTTACTTTCAGCCATGTTAAACTTCTTGAGTAGCTCAGTGACAAGAGCTGAAATATGCACATATTCAGCCCTAATATAGGGTATTTTAGATCTTGCATCTATCTTTATCTTTCCGTTTTAGTTTTAATTTGTTGTTTTGTTAATTTCAGGTCAATAAGGTTCAAACGGGCTAAAAATATTTCATTATAACCTTTTTGGAGTCAAGCAAATGCACTGAGAAAAATTTAGAATAAGTTTAGAAATTTGCCAAAAGGGGCCTACGATCGATCACAACTTCCTTGCGATCGATCGCAATGCCACATCATCATTCGTAGCCACATCATCGGATAAGGCAGCCATCAGGATCATTCGCATACCACGTCATCATTATGATCAATTGTAGGAAAGTTACGATTGATTGTAGCGCCACGTCAGCACTAGCTCATCGAATAAGGCAGACAGCTTAGCGGATAAGATCACACAGTTAGCATTACAATCAATCGTAGGGAACTTGCGATCGATTGCTGTTGAACCAAGAGGAGGGGTGAATTGGTTAAAACTTTGCTTGGTTAAAGTCTTCACAACACATAAACAATCATACAAAATGCAATGCAAACAAGGATTACAAGGAAACCCTCTTAACTAGAAAAAAACCTTGGTTCTTGGCCTCAGCCAATATGAAGTCCACTACTAGTTGTATATATCTTGTTACACACGTAGCTATCTCACTCTTTGCACACACCCAAGTACAAGAATAGACACTAGTTTTTACAACAAATACACACATTAGTTGATTACAGTGCACACAAGCACTCCCCCTATCTTAAGCAACCTTGCTTGGACCAAATATGTTCTCATGGCTCACCACACATACCATTACAGATGTAAAATAATTTAATCAAGTCTTCCCTACAATTGAAATAGGTTAGACAACTCAAAACACCAAATTACTACCTCAAAACCACAAACTGCTGCACTTAGGGTTTGAGGGGTAAAATGGGAATTTCCTCTCGAGATCAATTCGCCTACACCGGCCTTGCACAGTTTTCTTTCACTGTAGTACTCATGTTCATAACTTTACATAATCAAGTATAGAATTGATGGGTTATGCTACACTTAGTTTATTTGTCGGTTAGGCAGACAATTCATTCTTGAATTTGATGGTCCATGCTTAATATAGCAATTGGTAGTCGCATTTTATTCACAAGAATGTTTTCCCCAAATTAGTTGAAAGTGTGTGGTTTGGTGAACAAGCTTGGCGGCGATTCCTATGTCCCAAGACCTCACTTCTCATCTTTTAAATCCCTAACTCAACTTAGTTTATTTTAATTGCATTTTAATTAATTGAATTTTAGTGTAATCAAACAATCAACCCTCCTTTGCAATCATTTGATACATTAGAGTCAAAGTTAAATTCCAACACGTATAATCTCTTGGAACGATCCCTTCTCACTCATACTACGTAGTATAGGTGTTAAGCGGTTTATAAATTTAAAGTATGATGCCCACTTGACACTAATTTCCAAACTCAAAGTGTTGTGCATTATTTTGTGCACACGATCGGGTCGCATCACAAAGATTGGTCACTACGACTAAATGATGCATTTTGGGTTTACTGAACTGCATATAAAAAGTCAATAGACATGTCTGCATACCAGCTTGTTTACAGTAAAACATGTCATCTCTTAGTCAAATTAGAGCACCGTGCTTTTTTGGGCCATAAAAAGGTTCAATTTCAATCTTGATCAAGCCGGTTCTCATCGAAAATTGCAACTCAATGAGCTAAAAGAAATTTGGAATGATGCTTATGAAAGTTCCAAGATTTATAAAGCCAAATCAAAAGCATTCCATAACAAGAACATTGTTAAAAAGTCCTTTGTACCAGGCCAAAAAGTGTGGCTATTCAATTCAAGGATGCGACTTTTCCCCGAAAAACTTCAATCACGATAGGAGGGACATTTCCTTATCATTACTGTGTTTCCTCATGGTGCGATTGAACTGCAAGATCTAAAAAATGGGAATCTCTTTAAGGTCAATGGACAAAGGCTTAAACCTTACATTGACGGACTAGTCTCGGTTAGGAATGCGGAGACCATCCTCTTGACAGATCCAATTAATGAAGACTAACGGGATTCCAATTTCGTCGAGCTATCGACATTAAACTTAGCCATCTTTAGGGAGCACCGAGCTTCCTAAACTTCTTTATCTTCTCTCCTTTTAAAAATAAAAAATAAATCCAAAAATACAGTTTTTGCCTAAGTATGACACCAAAATTTAGTGCTTTTGTAAGAGTGTCTTGGTTCCAATTCTTTTGGTCATACTAGGTGTCCAGGGCGTTGAATAGGCTCTGTTGAAAAAATTAGAATTTTTTGAGTTCGTCTCGGGTTCCAAAATAAAAAATTCTACAATCAATGGATACTTCTTCAATGACACAACGTAGCTTCAACTAATACTTATAATAGGATCCCACAGCCTTCTCTTAGCACAATAAACTTGCTTACACCAGTTTACAACAATGAACAACAAGTATAACACTGGTGGTTCTTGATAGGCTTCAAACCCTCTTTAAGGTTATATTTGTCACTTCAGTGAATTGCTTCAATACAGTCCCTTCCTCTGTTTCCATAGCCTTGATATCTTCTCATAGTCTTGCTTAATCGATTGAAACAATAAATAAAGCAAGGCATCACAATTTCAAACTGGTGTGAGCACTGTTTCTCTGTGAGTCTTCAAGAAATCATATACACACAGCAATTTTTGAGATTAAATTAAGCTTACATAGATGAATCAACACTTAGAAATACTCATTGAATTGCTCTTCATGTTTCACTCAAGACCAGCCTCTATCACAGATGAAAGTTGTATTTTTAGGCTTAAAATAGCATGCTGCTGTAGCATTGCTTTTATACTCAAACTGTTGGTCCTAAGGTTCCCTAAACATTGTTTACCTTTTTAATGTCAAAAACCTGTTTATCAGTGGCTTCAAAGGGTTTTCTTTTCTTCATTGTTGTTTGAAATAAGGTTCAAGGGCTGTAGGTCATCTTCTTTCCAGTAGCATATTCTATTCATTGGCCTTAGTGTGTGTATCTCAGTGTAATTATCTATTTCAGCTGAAGTTACTAAGTTAATTGAAGTTCAGTTCTTGAATAGCTGCTATAAGTGTTCTCAGGGGTAGTATTATCTTTTCTCAGCTGTATTACATATGTATATGTATGCTCAGGTAGCTGCATTACACTGAAATGCCTTGATTGAACCTGCATTGTGAGGAATACAGTCTCAGGACTTTTACAATGCTGAGAAGAGTTATATTTGTTTCAAGGGCATTATGGTCTTTTCCAGTTATGCTCAAGAATGTGACACCTTTCAGTGGTCCTAGAGAGCTGGTATATACTAGAATATTACATTTCTTGGAGGCTAAGTCTGGAGGAAAATGCAATTTACAGCAGTGTATTGTGTGTGTATGATTTCTGGTGTGCAAGGTAACAAGATAGCTGAAGTGGCTTGCTGTGATTGGTTCTCTCTCCTGAAAATATCTGAATTATGCTCTATCAATCATTGGCTGAATATGACAGGTGTATGCTCTTGGTGTACGAAGCCTTGTGTATTCAGCATTACTATAAATATGCTGTTATAAAGTTTTTAGGGTTTCAAGCCTTTTGAGAATTGTGAAAAAATGAGCTACAGCTAGTATTCTCTCGTGTGCATTGAATGAACCTGTTTTTCTGAGTGTTTTACTGATGATTCAAGCCAGAAAAACATACCGATTTGAGCCTTGTAAGTGTATTAGCTGAGAAGATGTTGCTGCTGTGGTTTTTATTGATGCAAGGGCTGGACTGAGTAGTGAATTTGAGTTCCAAGGTGCTATGGTCTATTCTGAGGGTTGACACAGGTATAATTAATTTATTTACACTTGCTCAGTACTGAGTTTTAGTTAAAAACATGCTAAAATTGAGTTGGGACAGTGAGGTCACCTGTTATACTTAATTAATTGGTTTAAACTTGGATTCAAGCACTTATTGACTATACTTTACTATTCTATGTGTTAGGCGCTGAATGTTATACATTTTTTTTCCTTGTTGAGACTCATACACACTACCTCCACTAAGGTTCGAACCTCTGACCTCCCTTTGGGAAGTAGGAGCCTTGTACCGCTAGGCCACAGGCCTGTTGGTAAATGTTATACATTTTAACCCCTTTACTTGCATGTTTTATTCTTTTAATAATAGTTTATTTGTGATTTTACATTGTTTTATTTTTTTTATTTATTTCAGGGCTTTAATTGTAAAATCAGTCAAGATTAGTGATTCTGAGCTTTAAAAGATGACATTCTGTGGGACCGAGCAATTTTGAAGATCCAAGTCTAATTATACTTAGAAAATAGTCCAAAAGAAGACACAAGTTGATGAGAATGGAAAGAAGAAGTAAAGGAAATATCCTTCTCCAAAAAGGAAACTTTCGCCAAAGTTGGTAACTTGAACCCATTTTGGTAATCTTGCTGTATCTCTCTCCTCGAGTGTCAAAACAGCTAAATTCTCACAAATGTAGAAAAGAAATTCGAAGAGCTACAATTTTGTATTTCACGAGGATTCCATAAAACATCTGTTTACCATGTCAAAATTTGGCTAGAAATCTGTACGAATTTTAGAGTCATTATTTGACATAATTTCTATGTATATCTTCTATATGAAAAATAAAACTTTAGGGCTGATCTTTTATTATTTAAAGGGAGTCCTCTACAGAATTAGATCATCATATAGAGGTGCTTGAGGCTGAGATCAGAGGAGAAGCATTTAGAAGAAAGAAGAGATCAATCCATGGCAGTGAAGATGTCTTCCTCAACTATGAAGAATTCCACTCCAGTCATGCTTGGCTAAACGCTTTGCTAGGGTTGTAATGTAGCCCTAGCTTAGCACACTGGTTTGATTGTATTTAATTATTGGAGAAATTTTTTTATCATGCATGATTGTGTAATCTATAAGATTTTTAACTGACTTTTCAATAAGAATCGGTTTTAGAGTTTTAATTCAATTACAAAT